CCACGTCCACATGTAGCTGCCTGTTCTAGCTCAAGATGATATTTAGATTGTCTAAATATCGCGATATATAGCGGCAATAGAGTCCCGAAATATTTTTAACAAGACCCCGTCCACATGTAGCTGTCCGTTTTAGCTCTAGATGGCATTTAGATTGTCTAAATATCGCGATATATTGCGACAATATCGTCCTGAATTATTTTTAACAAGACCCCGTCCACATGTAACTTCCTATTGTAGCTCAAGATGACATTTAGATTGTCTAAATATCGCGATATATAGCGGCAACAGGGCCCCGAAATATTTTTAACATAACCCGTCCACATGTAGCTGCATATTCTAGCTCTAGATGATATTTAGATTGTCTAAATACCGCGATATATAGCGGCAATAGCGTCCCGAAATATTTTTAACAAGACCCCGTCCACATGTAGCTGCCTATTCTAGCTCTAGATGGCATTTAGATTGTCTAAATATCGCGATATATAGCGGCAATAGCGTCCCGAAATATTTTAACAAGACCCCGTCCACATGTAGCTGCCTGTTCTAGCTCAAGATGATATTTAGATTGTCTAAATATCACGATATATAGCGGCAAATCTCGCGATATATAGCGGCAATAGTGTCCCGAAATATTTTAACAAGACTGCCTGCTCTAGCTCTAGATGATATTTAGATTGTCTAAATATCGCGATATATAGCGGCAATTGAGTCCCGAAATATTATTAACAAGACCCCGTTCACATGTAACTGCCTATTCTAGCTCTAGATGATATTTAGATTGTCTAAATATAGCGGCAATAGAGTCCGAAATATTTTTAACACGACCCCGTCCACATATAGCTGCCTATTCTAGCTCTAGATGGCATTTAGATTGTCTAAATATCGCGATATAAAGCAGCAATAGCGTCCCAAAATTTTTTAACAAGACCCCGTCAACATGTAACTGCCTGGTGTAGCTCAAGATGATATTTAGATTGTCTAAATATCGCGATATATAGCGGCAATAGAGTCCCGAAATATTTTTAACAAGACCCGTCCACATGTAGCTGCCTGTTCTAGCTCAAGATGATATTTAGATTGTCTAAATATCGCGATATATAGCGGCAATAGCGTCCCGAAATATTTTTAACAAGACCCCGTCCACATGTAGCTGTCCGTTCTAGCACTAGGTGGCATTTAGATTGTCTAGGTCCTGAAGTATTTTTAACAAGACCCCGTCCACATGTAGCTGTCTGTTCTAGCTCTAGATGGAATTTAGATTGTCTAAATATCGCGATATATTGCGACAATTGCGTCGTGAAATATTTTTAACAAGACAACGTCCACATGTAGCTGTCTGTTCTAGCTCTAGATGGCATTTAGATTGTCTAAATATCGCGATATATTGCGACAATAGCGTCCTCAAATATTTTAACATGACCCCCTTCCACACTAGCTGTCTGTTCTAGCTCTAGATGGCATTTAGATTGTCTAAATATCGCGATATATTGCGACAATAGCGTCCTGAAATATTTTTAACAAGACCCCCGTCCACATGTAGCTGTCTGTTCTAGCTCTAGATGGCATTTAGATTGTCTAAATATCGCGATATATTGCGACAATAATGTCCTGAAATATTTTTAACAAGACCCCCTTCCACAGTAGTCACCGAGTAGTTGTCTGTTCTAGCTCTAGATGGTATTTAGATTGTCTAAATATCGCGATATATTGCGACAATAGCGCATGAAATATTTTTAACAAGACCCCCGTCCATATGTAGCTGCCTATTCTAGCTCTAGATGGCATTTAGCTTGTCTAAATATCGCGATAAATATCTGTGTTTATCATATTTAGCTATATTTAGCTCCATAGACATACACGTACTCTAGCTGTCACACTACTAGTGATGTAATACAGGATAAATCGAAGATGCATTCGATGTAATAACGTTATGTCCAAAGTATGAACAACAAAGAAAGTCTCTAGTTGAAAGTATGACCAAACACATAAATAATTTCAATAACTTGACAGTTCATAGTCAATTTATTTATATAATGAGACTTTTAATTATTTTTATCTTTTAGTTTTTAGTAACCTTACTGCTGTACTTCTATAGTCAGTGTCGTGTCAAGTTAAATATAGCCATAATCACTTGATGGCTGAAAATCCAAATAAATCGATCAACCCTATTTATTATTAATTATTTTTATCCCGATTTTTTATCCCTACTCCCATCTATAATTATTGATGTGACGATGAAAAGTTGGGCAAAAATAATTTCATCAGTGACTGTGATTATAGTCGGCTATCTGATATCTGTTGGCTATAAGCTCCTTATTCCTGGTCACAGCTCTTCGCAAAGATCTCTCCAATATTTGGAACCATGTTTTGCATCGTCATGAGTAGGAACTTTTGTCAATACCGTTACGACCCGAGTTTTAATTCACCAGGACGTAATTATCACGATGATTCATCAATATTATGTGACCATCCCTCTAAAATAGTGGTTTCGTCAATTAACTTCGACCTTTAACCCTGTCGGGGGGTTGAGCACCTTTATCATATTTTTTTAAAGATTGCTGATTCTTACTTCATTGAAGCTTACTTTGAAATAATAAAATTAGTTTATACAATACTTTTTGTTTAAATAAATAATATTAATAATGTTGGCAAACGTGTTTGTTATGCTTTCTGGTCTTTTGATAGCCCACAGAGTTAACAACATAACGTCCCCTGTTGTAACGACATGGCCAAGAGGAGCGACTCTGACTCTGGTGTTTACAGTGGAACGTTTCAGCTTTTTTAACAAGATGGGTCTTCTGACTGAGGGTTCTCCGTTGAGTTGGGAAGAAACCAAAAAATATGCGGACCACGTGAGAAAACATGGCATCAATCAGTTTTTAAACATCTACAAGAAACTAAAGGATCGTACTGGGGACACATTGAAATGGGGAGACGAGGTAAGTGTGTCGGACCGGTGACCTGTACTATCTTTCATCCACCACGCCACCTTACCTGCACTATATTACCGTCAAAACGAACCCTGTTCTGTGTTGGTCGCGTACATCTCGATGTGCCCGGTGATTACGCAAATTCATATTAACTGTTAACCGTGGTTTCGTGGCTGCTGGTCAGTTGACGATCAGCTTATTGTCCATGTAATCAAACCACGGCTAAATATAGGCATAGCAGCTAGTGTACTTGTTCCTATTGCACCCATTATTACTGCACTCCTTGCAATATTGCCCAGTTCTTATTGCAATCCTGCAGTAACACCTAGTTCCTATCGCACATCGGGGGTGGGGGGGGGGGCAACACCAACTAGGTGTTATTGTGAAGAAAGTTTCCTAATCTGAACCCTATCACTCCAGCTCCCCCAATGTAATTCAATATGCCCCTTCTAATAACTATAAGCGACCTAAAGAGGGTGTATATACAATTGGAATGGGTGAGGGGCACTGGTGGGGCAGGGTTAAGATTAGAGGATGAGGGGTGGGGGGCTTAAGGAACTGGCAGATGCTGGATGTCAACACTGATTTGTGAGATCATGGCAATGGTCATAACTAAGGTACAAGAAAAAAAATATCAAAACAATATACTAAATAACAAAATGCAATCACTAAATTATACAAAATCACTAAAATACTGTGACGTTAAATGCGCGGGGGGTGGTGGGCCTTTGTGGGGCTACGCCGTATTCAGGAGCGGGGAGCTTGTCTTTAATGCCGGTCTAATAATCTTTGTCTCTGGTAGCGTGCTTATTTTATGAGTGTCCTCCCTCTCAGCTTGTTCGCTGTCACGGGGTGGGGATCGTTTGGTGAATGTATATCACCACAACTGAGGCTGTGCAGAGAAAGAAATATACCAGTAACGATTATAACAAATCAACACAACACAATATATACAGTTTCCTGTAATTTAATAAAAAATAACAGGGATGCTGGTCACTGGAACCAGCAGGGGTGGGGTATACAGTACACAAATAAAATTTAGAGACTTGATCGATGCTGCAGGGAACACCACTCTCCAATGGACAGCAATGTACAATGTTGCGTTCCTTCATATATGGCACACTTTCGAAGCAGCTGCACTAAAATTTAAACTCATGCTCTGTGCTCTGTGTCCAGGGAGTATCGGCAACTGCACTGCTATCTGCTGCTACTGGTAGCACTTGTACAATGGGAGTAGTTCAGGCAGTGAGCTTCAGTGGTTCCTGTTGATCAGCAGGGATTACTGCACAGCACGTCTGCGTATGTACCCCTGTATACGGTACAGCTCACTGGAGTCAGGAATCAGCATCACAAGATGTTACAGGATCAAGTCAGGTCACCTTCCTGACTAAAGATTTTTACACTTGCCTCAACTTAAATACTTAAATGCTAATTTATGGCCATGCAAATAATAAAATGTATCTTACGAAATGATTGGCTATCTCAACATAACCAACCAATCAGTGTATCAAGAATGTCCATTTTGGTAGTGGAATAGACCACTTTTTATCCAAGCTATACCAATTTAAAGTAGGAGACTCGGGTTAATGATGTTATTCCTCAGCTCCTGAGAGCGAGGTTATTTGTAGATATGTTGGCGATCGCCGCTGCGGAAGTACTATGGGATATTGCATGATGGGAGTGAAAAGTCTTTTGATCAGTAAGATAATTTTAGAAAAGTGAAAAATTGAGTGACTGTGAAATAAAGGTTGGTTTTAAATATAAAATATCATGGAATCTGGATGAAATAATGAAAGGAAATTGAACAGGTATGAAAGTAAATGTGGCAAGAATGCAAGGTCAGAATCCGGGGGTCAAAATACGTCACAATACATCCATCATCATCCATCGGCTGTCAACAACTATGGATGCGGTAAAAGTCTTGATTTGCAGTTTGCGTGAATGGCCGGGAAAAATCATGGCAATTCTGTGCTTCAGTAAGAGTATTTGCTCCTTTTTGACTCCCATGTGCGAAGCACAAAATGGGAGTCTTTGCAGTTAGTGTGTCTGTATGTGTGTGTGTATGTGTGTATGTGTGTCCGACTGTTCCACTGCTATCTCAAGAACCATACATCGGTTTTTGATGAAACTTGGTACATAGATGCTCTGAACATATGCGCCGATTTGATTAGTTTTTGGTAAAAATCTGTGCATATTAATTACCTAATTTGCATGATAATTAGCTATTTTTTAGTGGTTCCATGACTGTTCCACTGATATCTAAACAACCACTCATTGGATTTTGATGAAACTTGGTACATAGATGCTCTGAACTAATGCTAGGTTTTGATTAGTTTTTGGTAATAATCCGTGGATACTAATTACCTAATTTGCATAATGATTAGTCAATTTTCGGTTTTTCCCACTGATATCTCAAGTACTAATCATCACATTTCAATGACACTTGGTACATAGATGGCATATGATACTGCACAGACCTGATAGTTTTTATGGTAATATCAGTACATATAATTACCTAATTTGCATAATTAATTATT